CCCCGCCCCCCGTCCGCCTGCCCGCTCCCGGCTCCGGCTCCCCGGAGCCCTCCTGAGCCAGCTGGCGGCGTCAGGCCTGCGCCGGTTGCTGCCCGGAGCCGGCTGGGGCAGGAGGAGGCGGCAGAACCGCGCAGGGGGCAAGGAGGAAGGGACGAGAGAGCGGTGCCCTGACCCCTTTGCCAGGCTGCTTTCTCACTCTCTTTTCCGTTTCCTTAACGCGATGGAGGAAAGCTCTCTTCCCAGAGACAGAAGTGTATGTGTGTTACACGTTAATTCAGTGGGGTGTTTGGAAGACCGTTTTGTGCGCTAACAGAAACTGTAAGGATGATTTTGGTTTTGAAAAAGCTGTAGTTTTTTGTATTCACAGGTGAGGGGAAGATTTCTAGTACTCAGCTGACCAGAGAGCCCTTGGAGATGTCAGCATGACTTCATATAATTCGCGCAGCTTCTCATGAGGTGGTCATCAGGTATGACCCTTTATTGACAAGTTGTGATATGTCCAGGGCGGTAGAGTAGACAGAGTAATCTAGGGGGTAAAGTTTTATTTCCTGAACGGCAACGAAACCAGTAGCTTTTTCCTTCCTTTTCTTAGTCGTATTTTGCAGATCAGAGGTGTAGTTGCCTTGTCTCCCTCCGTCACTCGGATGATACTCTGAGAAAGGAATTACAGTGTGTATCTGTACTCTGATGCAGTAGTCTGGTTTTCACAAAGAGCAGAATTTATAATAACCCTTTAAATAATACCCAGCATTTGTAGGTGATTTGCTAGAGAATTAGATTTATCACAGGATAAACCTAATACCTCCTGTGATAAAGGGTGCTTCTGACATGTGAGCGTCTAAATGCCCGTTTTCCAGGTGAGCACTGCTCATGAGTATGAGGTGGGGGACCTTGAGTGATGTTATCCTCTCCACTGGCCCATGAGGTACGTTCTGGGAAGCTCTTCTGGTTGCTTTTTTGGTGCAGTTAGTTGTACTCAGCCCTGTGGCTGTCCTAGCCCTACTGCTGGGACCTGAACCCCATCGATCCTGGTACGCAGAGTAATCATTGCTGAGTTTGAGACAAGCCTTCTTGGATGAGTGGCTTTGAATGAAAAGTTTAGTTGATCATCTATGTTAGCTCTGATGAGCACGAGAAGGGAGACTTAAGTGGCAGCAGCAATATTTGGGTAGCCAGCAAGACTGCTGTGTGATGAAACCTTTTGCTCTCAGTTCATACTCGAGTAACATAAAGATTGCTGCCAAAGCTTTCTGACGAGGAGCAGCAAGATGGGAAAATGGGGCAGTGTGAGCTGACACCTTGGGTTCGCTCAGTTCCGAAATGGGGCCAGCCTGAATACCTCCTAACTACAGATGTTTGTGCTGCAAAATTCCTGCTTCTGTGCAGTCATGAGAAAGAAGTAGATGGGACTTGGTGAATTGTATCGGTGCTTTAGGGTTTTTTTTTTTTCTCCTGGTCAAATCCAAGCAATTAGGAGATGAGCTGTCACTTTAATTTGGCATGGGAAATGCTGTTTGGGCCAGGTGTGTGCTCCAGTGGGTCAGAGATTCCTGAGAGCCCTCGAGTTCCAGGTTGTGGCTGCCCACGCCGATGAACCTCTTTCTCCTCATCCTCTCTCGTAGTGTCACAGTACAGAAAGGAACTCTGGTAAGATACTGGGTATGTTGTCTCCTGCAAGTTTTACCTTGGGTGACCAGAGACGTTTCTGATTTTGTAGGACAGTCGGGAATGAATGTCTGTTCTGACGAGATTGCTGACGGTACGGAAATATCTCAGTGGCCATAGCTCGAGGGGGGATCCTTTACTGCAGGAGGAACAGGAGTGACCTGCTCGTTGGCTAGGGTGTGTAGTGATGTTAGTTTCAAAAGCAGGAAGCAAATATCTGGATCCAGTCATGTTTATCATCTGTGCAAAACTCTCCTAGGCATCTGACTAGCTAACCTGTCCTGAAGCTGTTGGCTTTGCTAGAGAGCAGGTAATACTGCATGGATTCAGAATTTATAGATAATGTGGTAGTAGGAAAATAACGTATCTTTGTGCTTTTCTTTCTGTGCACGTTTTGTGGGAGCTTTTTATTTTTGGTAAGTTTAAACTTGAATTATCTGTGTCGCTGCTCTAATATTCCTTTAAGTCAGTTTGTTGCACTAGTGCTTGCTTAAATTTACAGTGAAACACTTGTAAAATAATGCAACGAGAGCGCTCTTGAACTATTTTAAATTTGAAATTCAGTATGAAATTTTTTCAGATGAGTCTGAAAGTTACCTGAAATGCTATTGGGTCAGGCAAGTAGGAAAAGTCAAACAGTAAGAACAATACATTTTTCTTTTGGTTAAGTGGGGGAAAGTGTGCGTATGTATGTGAGAGAAAACCAGTCTTTGATTTGGGGGAAGGGGGGGTTGCCTTGAGTTTAAGAGGAAAAAAAAAAAAGGGATAGGAAAGGAAAAGCTGTGGAGGACTGTTTGAGGCGAGGGTTTTTTTCTGAGTGTTTGCCATGCTGTTGAATGATTTTAGGTGGATAAATGCTAGTACAGAGAGGTTTTGATAAAGATTTTTTTTTTCTCAAAGTCCTGCTTCTTCGCATCTCAACCTGCAGGAAGCATCCTGTTCTTCTGTAGCACAGGAGACTGAGGTTGTAGAAGAAGTGCCATGGAAGCACTGAAGCGCAAGTGAAGAATGGCCTCAAAAGTACTGCTTTGCAACGTGCTCTATATACTGGCCAGTCTTAAGACTGTTATGGCCCAACTTGTGTTTTTTGGACATCTACAGTTAGTTAATAGTTGGCATTCATGGGAGCTGTTGTTGGGGTGGAAATACGAGGCCAGAAAAACGCGACGATACTCCGATCGTTTCAGGAGCAACAAAATAAATGAGTCCTTCTCTGCTAAGCTTTGGTGGCCTTTTTGTCTGTCACAATAGCTTGAGCTGCCTCCTGCTGTGAGAGTTTTGGTAGGTAAGAGGCTGAATGAATCAGATGAGTGGCTGGTGAGCCAGGCTGGGGAATGCCTGCTGGCCACCATTGCTCCAGAGCGGCAGTGGGTGGCTCAAATTTTCAATAGCTTTCAGATTTCTACTTGTCTGTCAGATTTGAAGGAGTGTGGCTGATAGGCACAAAACCTATTACGGGGGAGGAAAAGCGGCAGACAACAGAGATGAAGTCTCAGATACGTGGTGCCCTTAACGGAATTGGGCGAGAAAAATTGCTGCTTCTTGCAGCAGCTTCTAACTGTTGGGCTCAAACTGCTTGTTGAAACATGTTTGCGTGTGTCCCAGGCTGTGAGGCCTCGAGGGGTGAGGGGAATCTCCTTTTGCTCTAGCTGTGCTGAGTAGAAGTTCTTTGTAGAGAGGATGGAGGATGCAAATCTGAGGGACAGCTAAATGCCGAAGTTTATTTGGAGCGTAGAAATCTACCTGAAATTCCATATTTCTCCTGCGTGCCTCGTATCAGTTTTAAGGGAGAAGCCACACTGCAGGTAAGGAAAGAAAGGTTGTGTGACTAGGTGGAAGCGAGTGCACGCTGCAGAAGTGGCCCCGTGCTCACCTCTGAAGCAGCACGCTGTTACTTCCTGGCATTTCTGTCTCTAGTTGGCATTTGAGCTTGCTGGGATTGTGCGAGTGATTGTGTTTCATCCTCTGGAAGAGAAAATGTAACCTAGCTTTTGAGATGATGAAACTGGGTGAAGCCTGAAAGAGACATCAAGGAATTTCAAATTATAATAGTGGACTTTCTTGAGATGAGGAAAAAAAAAAAAAAAAAAGAGAAAGCATTTATTTGGAGAATATATTTTATTAGCCCAACCTGTCGTCTGTCTTGCACAACTCTCTTGAGATCAGGCCATGTTATCTCACTGACATTTTTTAAAGAATGTGTTGGAGTCCCTATCTTTGCTGTGGATAAAAACCACCATTAAACGTACATTAATTGTTTGGAATTATTCACCTTATATGTTGTTGCTGTCATATTTGTGGGGCAAAACTAAAAGCGTACGAGAAATCTCAGCTTCTCACCTTCTGTTCCCCCCCCCCCCAAAACTGTTGTTCTTAACAACAAGAATTGTTGCAAGTTTCAATCTGATTTGTTTTTCAGGAAAATGAAATTAAGTTCTTAACTGCAGAAATTGAGCGCCTGAAGAACTTTGGGTGCTTGGGAGTCTCCCCGAGTTTGGAAGGATTGCGAGACGAAAACGCAAAACTTAAATATCGGTTAAACTTCCTTCGAAAGGTAGGGGAATAAAGAATTACTGCTGTAGCGCGTGTTTTTGTCCATACTGAGACAAGGTAAATGATGCCGTTTTGTTACAGCTTGTGATGTGTGGCAGCTTGCTCGCTCTGCAGTCTAACACCTTAATTGTAGATGGCACACTGGATATTTTGTGGTTCGTTAAACAGAAAGTTTCCTTGTGAAAAAATCTCAGTTGGTTAATAAGTCCACCTTGTCGTGTCTTGGACAACCATGTAGCAGGGCACCCCGGTTACAGGTGGACCAGCTGAGGTCTCTAACAGGATCACTGATAAAGGTGTGCAAAGTAATGCAGGACTACATTCAGGGAAGGTATTTGTGCTGCGAGATTCAAAGGGGAAAGGCAGCGCTTGAATTGCATGACTTTAATGTTGTATATGTTGCTGCTGTGCCTAGAGGTGTCAGGCCAGTCTGTCGACCGGGCTTTGCCAGGCAGCCAGGGGAAGAAGTGGGATGTAACTGCTCCTGAAATGCTGTGAACTGAGCCTTCTGGATTTTGGTATTTTCTCAGAGCCTTCAAGAGGAAAGAAGTAAACCGGTGAAAAGCATGATCAACATCAACAGCTATCTTCAAGAGATCTTTGGAGCTGCCATTCAGGCTGCCTACCCAGATTTAGAAAACCCTCCGCTAGTGGTGACACCAAGTCAGCAGCCCAAATTTGGGGATTACCAGTGTAACAGCGCCATGGGCATAACACAGGTAAATCTGAAAGATCTCCAAAGAGAAGAAAAGATGGGGATGTTGTCTGTTGGGAGCTCATCGATGGACAGCGCTGTGAGAGGTCCAAAAATGGACCAGTGTCGGCCTGTTGTGGGCCTCAGGGGTGAGAATTCATTCAGTGTTTATGGCGTTTTCTTTAAACCTCTGTTTAGATGACTGACATGAGAGAGGAGAGAGAGTGTCTGAGCTACCTGTGTGTCATAGAGGAAAACTGCTCAGTTCATGTGGTTGAAATCAAATCAGGATGCGAGTGCTGTATTGATCTACTAATGACATGCAATTAGCTGACAGGTAGGGAGCTACATGTTTGGGATCAATATCCGCAATATGATAGATAAACTACAAATATTGAACAGTTGCAAAATGCTAATAAGCACTGCACATCTCTAAATGCTCTTCTGTAATGCAAGAAGTTGTAACACACACCCCGCACACTTTCATGCAGTTACATGCACCCCCCTCTTCTCACAGGACAGGCGGGTTACAAACACACCCCTTTTCTGGGAGCACGAGTTTCCCTCCTTGCACGCATCTCCTGTGGGAGACATCCTATTCCATCTCTGAGTATTCTGATGACATAGGAAAAATTGAAGGTTTGGGGTATTGGTGAAGGAAGGGATGAGAGCTAGTGGCCCGAAAGCTTAGTGAGAGCCCTTGCAAATGGGAGGAAGTGAAGGGCCTCTAAAGACACACTGCTCTGGTTCTTAGCTTTGGACCTGACCCAGGGTTTCTGGTGTGGGCAGCCTCTCTGCGAATCTGTGTTTGCTTTATCAGGGATGTCCAGGCCATCTCCAGTAGCCATCTGTCTATAAGGGGAATAACCGTAGCAAGTTGACGAGCTGAATAACCTTAAATATTCTTTGTGTAGACACAAAGTGAATTTCTCCAGGGTGTGATGCCTAAAATTGGACAGAATTAAAACTTTGCTGTGTTGATGCTGAGCGTTCTGGGGGAGTCAGCAGGAGTCATGAGCTGCCTCAGTATTTCTAGATACTTCTTGTCAGCTCTTCTATACGAGAAGGGAGATGATGACAGTTGGTGCTAGACAGATTTATGTTGCACTCTCTGTAAACTACATGAGGTAATAATTAGTGCAAATTTAAGTAATGATATAGTTTCAGTCTGTGGCCCCAGAAAGGCTGGCTGACTGGGGCCAAGCGCAGCACTGAATTGCGGTGGCAGTAGTCTGGATGCACAGAAGCCGAGTTACGCATGGGATACCAGTAAGAGCTCCAGGCCAGCACCCATAAAACCAAGCATTAGGCTTAAGGTTAGTCCAGCAGAGAGGTTTGTTTTGAAGCAAGAGGATGAATAAGGTCAGCTGGCAGCATTTTGGAAATTATAGTTTAGTCTTCCACCCCAGAAAACCTCCCCCACGTTTGTTGAGTGAGAGTGTCATTTGACTTGTTCTCAGTCTCGTTTCCGTACCTGTAAGAATGGACTGAGTTTTAAAGGTGTTTTAAAGTAGGAACTGAAAGAAAGCAATCTGATGAAGGCATGTGAGGGTTTATATAAATTCAAGTTGGAACAAAGTGTTTCAGGCAAAAAAGCAAAACATTGATTTCTGTCGTCTTGGAAGTTCTCAGGAAACTGTAACAAGGGCTCCACTTTATAGAGCACCTCTGAAGTGCGTGCAAAAGGAGGGAGTTTTTGTTAACCTGGCTAGTATCGACAGGGTTGTTTTGAAAGTTATGGCATTGCTGCTGTCTAGAAAATCTTTGGCCAAAGAGGAGCCAGACAGAACGGGAGTTGCTCAGTGGGGTGGGAGTGTTGAAGTGAAACCAGGCTCTGGGCCAACGTGGAGGGAGAAGGTAGCGAATTCTAGCCTAGGTGTGAAAGCATCCGAACTTTCAATGCATTGATGCCTTTGAGCGAACGGATAGACTCTTTGTAATCATGGATCTTTTATTTTGTAACCTGCAGTCTCAACGGAAGGAACTTGTAAGTTGTTAATTCCCTTTCATTGATCGATTAGACTGTGAATCTTGACATCGGACTTGCACTGTGATACGTGAAATTCTACTTGCCTCAGGTTGCCATCGTGAATCTTGACATCGGACTTGCACTGTGATACATGAAATTCTACTTGCCTCAGGTTGCAGCCTGTGGCCACTGTGTGTTGTCCTGCCCAGTGAGTTTGACTCCAGGACAGCATCAATACGTGCCAGCCAGCAGGCTCCTGGTCTGAAGCACCAAGGCAGAAACAGCCCTCAGAAATACGTGCCGTCTTCCTTTGGTCTCATTAGCATATTGTGCCTGGGCTCCAGCCAGAGGAACACCCTGGGTGACTGCACTGACACAAACTTTCAGAGCTTTGCCATTTTTTGACCGCTGTTTTACCCCAATTAAGTTGCGGTTAGGATTCTCGAGCCTTTTCAGTGTCGACACTGTTTGCATAACTCGATGTCCAAAGTCCTCTGTGTTTGAGGGCCTTTGAGGCAGGGTTTCTCGTTCCCGATTGTCAGCTGTACCAATGGATAAAGATTCCTAGAACAGGCTTGGCTGTAGAGTTTCTTCCCAGAAAGGCGGACGCTACAGGCTGGGTCTGAGCTTGGGAATACTCACGCGTAGCGCACTCGCAGCATAATCATGCAGCAGAGCCAGGGGATGCCATGTGGTCATTTCTGAGGGCAGCTGGTTGTGTATTTCCCCGTCAGCCTCAGTTTTAGGGACTTTACCCTGGCGTGTCTCCCCTTCAGCCTTGCTCCCACAGGAAGTCTCGGTTCTGCGTAGAGCTGGAACGCTAGTCGCCACGACTGCGGGAGGAGCGGGAAGTGCCCCGACTCCCAGGCAGCACTAATACGTGCCAGGCGGCAACATCTCCGCTCAACGCGCCGATGTGGAAACAGCCCTCACAAATGTGTATTGTTTTCCTGCAAGCTCGTTAGTGTGTGTATTAAAGCCTGGGGTTTGAGCCAGGAGCTCCGCTTGCTCCTTAGAGTAGTAGGAGTGTGGTGCCTGTTTTTGGAATGGTTGAGAGAACATTGCCTGGAACCTGGTGTTGCATTTATTTTTCCTATAGTTTGCATTTTGAGTAGCATTGAAGGTGATTGGTAGAGGTGTTCTGTTCTCCCCATTCTAAGCCTGTACCAGCCTGTGAGGATCCTGTTGCGATCAAATGTATGGCAGGTTAAACAGGAAACTGAAAGTTGTGGAAAGTCCCTTCTTGCAGCGGACCACAAGCCAGTAGACTGGTGTAAATTCTGAACCCACGAAGAGCTGCGTGCTCCTTGTGGCCCTCGTGGGAGTAAGGTGATAGGTCATTTTCAAACGTGTTACAGTAAGAATGGACATTTTTTAAAAAAAATTCTTGCAAGAAATGTGTTCAGAAACACATTGTTCTGTCAGATTTTGTACAGTGTGAGTGGAGTGTTTTACAAGGGACCGGTTGGGCTGGCTCACAGAATTGTAGGTGTTTGTGGACAATTTGCGGTCCTCCTAAAGGCGGCTTTTTTAAGAATTGCAAAAAAGCTATGTGAAAAGATGCTCCTGGAATGGACAGATAAATTGTGGAGTAACCTGGGGTGTGAGCTTGCGTTGTACTGTTGGAGTTCCTCGTAGTAGGCCATTTCTGCCTGGAGGGAGAAGGTGAGCTACTTCACAGGCAGTTGTTCTGATGCTTTTTAAAGAAAATTGGGCAGTGTTAGGGTCATCTGGTGACTCGGGTTGTTTTGTTTTTAAGTTTGAGTCTAAGGTAGGATTGAAGGCGGTTTGCTTTAGTTGCTTTCGGTCATAAATTAGCAAACTTGCTCTGAAAGCACACTCAGCATCTACTGTAGATGTGGTTTAAAATTTTCAAAAGTGAAGCTTGGCAGAACTGAGGATGCATGTGGGACTGATGAACAAGATTTTGAAGCAATGCTAAGGACCGTGGTAGCTACATTGATTTTGAGTTTTCCCCTTTTTACTAGCTTAGAGAAATCCAAATTTGCCAAAGCACTTGACACGTCTTGAAAAACAGCCTGACAAGTTTCTTATATTTGGGACTACCCTTTAGTTGCCCATAGCACGAGGGAATGAACACGTTAGTCTAGTTAGACTTGTGTGTAGAAAGAGCTAATGTAATCTGCAAAATCTGGTAGAGGGGTTTTTCTGTGTGTGTGTCTGCATTACTGAGCTACAGAATCACGAGGATCTTTTAAGGCAGTAGGAGCTATGCTTTCCGTTTCATTCTGTGGAAGGTTTTGCAGGATCAGCTTTTACTCGAACCTTTTGCTGTGTTTCAGATACTGCTCAAAACCATGGAACAGAAGGTGAGTCCAAGAGAAATCGCTGAGAAAATATCGAAAAATATTCCTGCCAATGAATGCATTGAGAAGGTTGAAATCGCCGGTCCTGGTACGATAGTTTCATGTTACGCCCCTTGTATGTTTTAAAGCTGACATGGCAATTTTATACTGGGTGGTGATCAGGGAAGCTGAGCTGGGTTTGACTGTTCTGTAACTTTAAAAACTAGAGTTATGGGCTGGAACTAGAGTTCCAGCAGAAAATCTACCTTAGCTTGTTTTCGAATTGACAAGTGCGATCCTGGCCCCTTTAGTTAGAAAACGTTCTGCTGACCCTCAAGTGATCAGCTTTGGCCCTTTGCCTATCAGTGACGAGTATCTGGTGAATTCACTGCAGAAATCGGTATGCGCTTTGGGCTGAGACCTGGGGTGTTTGCCGTTGCTCGCCCAGTGAGGAGGCCTTGCCCCCTCAGCACTGACCTGGGATAGCGGAGGTTAATAACTGCTGCATCTCTCGTGTCCCTGTGACCCTGAGGAAGAAATAAGAGGGCTCGTGTTCCTTAGGGCTGCAGCATAAACGCAGAAATAACATGGCGCAGCCTTTCAGGGTGCTTGAGCCAGGGGCTTGTTCCTTAGTTCCGCACAAACGGGAAAACTAAAGCGGCGTTGTTCCACAAACGTGAAATTGTCCAGGAACGACTATATGTTTTAGGGTGCTAATTTAAAAAAAGGAGAGATGGAGAAGTTTGTTGTCCTTGTACCTATCCAAGGACTGTATTCTGCAAACCTTAGCAATATTATTTATTTTCTCTTAAAGACTGTTTTTACAAATTCATCTGTGAGTGGCAGTGTGCAAAAACAAGTCATGTCAATGGTCTAGCTTTTAGAATCTGCCTGCCTCCTGCAGTGAAGGTGTGTGAAACAGGCTCTCGTAATCTGCAAACAGAAATTGTCTTTTAGTGACAGCTTTGTTGTCCTGTTACTGAAAATGTTTTTGTCTTGTCAAGCTAATTTCATATGCTCTTGTCCCTGATGCGAGGAAACAGAGATCCAAGGGAATAGGGGAAAAAAGAAAAAAAAAAAAAAAAAAAAGTGGTCTGAGGCACTTTTGCAGCCCTAGTGCTCATTGCTGGTTTTTCTCCTCTGAAGGTTTTATCAATGTCCACTTGAGAAAAGATTTTGTATCAAAGCAGCTGAGCAGTTTACTGGTGAATGGAGTTCAACCACCAGCTATCGACCAAAGGAAAAAGGTATGGCAGTAAGCACGTAGGCATCCCGTTCACATGCAGATGGACGCGTGCTGGACAGCAGGTCGTTTTGATATTGCCCTGTGAGGGTATATGTTGAGTAGGTGGGTGGGCACGTCAGCTGGTTGTTAAAGTGAATGAGATGGATGCAAGTTAGGGCTGGGGGCTCGCAGGGGCAGCGTGTTATGCCAAGGCTGGTCTGGGAGTGCCAGTGTGGGAACGATCCCTGCCCGTCTGCTGGGCGCCCGCAGCAGAGCCCCGAGTCAGACACCTGCTCCGACGGCCCCTCGCTGAGCCCTCTCTGCTGCTGTGCGCTGCTGGCACCGCAGCGCCCTGCAGGTCAGCAGAGGTGGGCCTCCCCACCACCCGGAGAAACCCACGCTGAACACGTAGGATGTCGTAACGGTCACTGTCTTCTATTCATGTTTTCCTTTGTTGCCGTGTCTAAGGTGGTGGTGGATTTTTCTTCCCCTAACATTGCAAAGGAGATGCATGTTGGTCACCTGCGGTCTACCATCATTGGAGAGAGTATGTGCCGCCTGTTCGAGTTTGCAGGTTATGATGTTTTGAGGTGAGAGTCAGTGTTTGGGTGGGGAGGGCTTGTTTGACTAAATTTCTGCAGTAACATATCTGTATGCTTTGGTCTATATTGTTTTTTTTAATAAACATGTAACAAATAATCCTTGAGAGTAGGATTAAGAGAGCAAGCTGAGCAAGTGTAGCGAGGTGAGAAACCCTGAAGGGTGACAGCCTCATTGCATTGAAATCAGGGGCTTTTGCGTGTTTCTGGTTTCTGATATTAGGGGGTTTTATTCTTTTAAAATATATATATTAAAATATATATTTCATATCTATCTATCTATCTATCTATCTATATATATATATATATCTGTATTTTAAAATATGTATTTGAGAAAACATTTTTCTTTTTTAATTGCTTCAAGGTTAAACCATTTAGGAGACTGGGGTACCCAGTTTGGAATGCTTATTGCTCACCTCCAAGACAAATTTCCGGATTACTTGACCGTTTCTCCTCCCATTGGGGATCTCCAAGCTTTCTACAAGGTATTTTTAGCAAATAAGTGTGATATTTATGTTGATGCCTGAAAAGCAGACTGAGGGGCTTTGTAAATTTGCAGTGTAGTTTTGGAGAAACAAACGAAATGAATCACTGTTAATAGATTATGGTAATTACCTACTTATAGATAAAGAAGTGCTGTGTCTTAAGACGTCTTGAGTTTCGGTTTGGGGCATATTTAAAGGACTTGGTAAGCATGCTGCATCTCTGTCATTTGAGACAAGAATGATTTGAGTCTGTTAGGAATATTTGGCTTTTAGGGGGGAAACAGATGTTTTGTTCATGTAGTGTGTTTCACCATAGGAATCCAAGAGGAGATTTGACACAGAGGAGGAATTTAAGAAGCGTGCCTACCAATGTGTGGTGCTGCTGCAGAGCAAAAACCCAGACTTCATAAAAGCATGGAACTTGATATGTGATGTGTCTCGGAAGGGTGAGTTTGCCAGATACAGATACACTTGTCTTGGCAATAGACAATAGAATGGTATGGCTTTCCTCACTTTGGGTATGCGTCCCTCCGTTTTTTTTTTTTTTTAAAGAAATCACTGGCCACAGTGCTATGAGAAGCTTAAAATAAAAAGGTGATGCAACCAAAGCATTGGGCTCTCTGAAGAGAGAGCGGCTAAATCTTTTTTCTCGTGAGTCCTAGTTTGAGCCTTACTCTTGACAGCCTGACCAAGAGACTGGGTTTTTATCTTCAGGGACTTGCTGTGCCCGTCAGTAAATAGATGTCACTAATTCCCACTGCATGCTTTTAACCCAAGTATTTTGTTCTGTTTCCGTCCTCAAGAGTTCCAGAAAATCTACAACTGCTTGGACGTTACACTCATAGAGAGAGGGGAATCGTACTACCAGGAAATGATGAAAGATATCGTGCAAGAATTTGAAGACAAAGGTGAGGCTTTCTGTCTTGGAATCAGAGATTCTGCCCTTGTCAGGATGAGCGAGGTAACCTTGCTCCTGTTTGGCAAGGCTTAGAACTGATGTTTTCCGAGCTGCATGTTCCCCACCCTTGCTCTTTTTCTCAGCCACGTTTCCTGAGTGGATCTTTTGTGGAGCTCCTCCTGGAGAGGCTTTGGCAGAGTTGATTCTTGTATGGCTCATTCCGAAAAGCTTTACTCTTTGCTGCTGACACCAAAAGCAGCTTGTGTGTGGTATTTGTAGGAAATAGCATGAGGTGCTACTGAAATTTATTCTAGCCTCAGTAAATAGTCAAGGAGTGATACATGACAGACTTCCCAGTGTTAGTGTTGCAACTATTGTAATGGGCTTTGGCCGTTTCCTGCCTAATCACATCACAAAGGGAGAGCTTGCATCTGAGAATTCTCTGTGAGGACAGTGGCGTTTTAGGATTGTGTTGACTTTGAGACTGGTAAGAAGCCAAATGGGCCATAAGGAGTCTCTGGGTTTATGAGTTCCTGTCTGGATTTGCAGTCAGTGATTGCCTTGACTCTTGTCGTCTGTAGTCTTCTGCCTAGTTACAGCTCTGATATCTCTTGTACTAGTACTCATTTCCTTAGAGTTTCTGTTGCCTTTAATGCCCAACTTTGTGATGCTGTTTCGGTGGCTGTAAAGGTGGATCTGGATGCCAGTGACATGAGGTTTTAAATCTGATTTGATCTGTTTTGGTAAAGCCAGATCTATACAGATCTGCTTGCTTCTGCATAGTCCAAGTTCTGAAAGTGCAGTGCAGAATATGAGCTGACTAGAGAGAGAGTTTCTCTTTTTTTTTTTTTTTTCTCCTATTTTGAGCTGTACGTTATTTGGAATGCGAGTGCACGGCCTTTTCTTTCTGGTAGCATCTAGGAAGAGAAGTGTTTCTGCCTGTCCTGTCCCACAAACCTCCCCACGCGATATGACCAGGAATGTATTCCATTGTTTTTCTAGGATTTGTCCACGTGGATGATGGGCGGAAGGTCGTGTTTGTCCCAGGTTTCTCAGTTCCCTTGACAATCATGAAATCAGATGGAGGCTACACATACGACACATCTGACTTAGCCGCTCTTAGACAAAGGCTGTGTGAGGAGAAGGCTGATATCATTATTTATGTTGTCGATAGCGGCCAGGTGAGTACGTCAACCTCGGCTGCCACTGCTGCTACAGATCATCAGGAGTGTTAAATGAGGGGTGCAAGAGTAACGTAGGTAGAACGCTGTAAGGGTTTTCAGCTTGGAATATTGGCTCTTGTCCTTATTGGTGTAACTGTGAGCCTGGTTTGGTGACTGGTGATGTCCGTGGAGAGCACCTAGAACCAAATGGTTAGGGAGACCTTGTCACGTGGAAGCGAGTGAAGCCTGAATCTCAGCAGATTAATCTTGAAATGAGATTTGTACTGTTTATACTTAGGTCTCCCTTTACCTAAGGAAATGCAAGGGTCATGAGGTTGTCAGCACCGTATCTGAGCGGTGATGGGAATTTATGGTTGCTCGAGAAAGATCTTTGAACCAAGCTGAACTTTCCCAAGTGGAAGTTGTCTGTGGAGCTAAAATCCTTTCAAGTTTCATTGCGAAGGAGATAAGGCGGAAATTGATGTGAGCCTTGGGAACGTTTGCCTTGTCCTTTGTGATCTTGGTGTGGGTGCAGAAGATACTTGGGAAGAAAACTGTACCTGACAGAATGGGTTGAGAACTGGTGGAATTTGTGTCTTGCAGTCAGTGCATTTGCAGACAGTGTTTGCAGCTGGACAGATGATCGGCTGGTATGATCCCAAAGTGACCAGAGTGACCCATGCTGCATTCGGAGTGGTACTGGGAGAGGACAAGTAAGTCTTTGAATGAAGTTTTTCTCTGTATCTGCTCTGAAGAGGATGTTTGAGTGAATGCAGACTTGCTTTTCCCTGTTTGTTGACAAGAATGTATGTAGCATGCCAAAAAAAATAAAAAAAAAGCCCAGGTCCCATGCTGTTATTTGTAACTGTGAGCACACATCATGGTCCTTTGATGCACGTAGTCACTGGTGCTGTAGGGAGGCTCCCTCCTCGGCCTGGCCTCTGCTGCCTGGCAGTTGGGGAAGGGACCTAAGTTGCCAGTGGGAGTGGCTGGTGGAAGTGCAGAGGAAGCTAGTGGAAATAGTGGGAGATGTGGAGGGTAAAGGCAGCAATTGTCTTTATTTTCTACCTGCCTCACGGCAGTACAAGGACAGCTGAGAAAAGAACCTCTGTGTCCTAGTCCGCAGGCCAGGCCCTTCGTACTCCAGAGGACGTCTTACGTATCTGTGAAGGTGCAGTTAAACCGGTGCGCTCTGTAACTGTTACATGCAATTGCAGACAGAGTGGTTTTGCTGTAGGTTTGTTGTAAGAATAAGGTCAATGGCTGAACTGGGCTGGGATCTGGCATTGATACTGTGTCCTGCCTAACATATGGGACTGAAACAGGTCGTCTTGACTGTGCCTTCGTGGCCACACTCCATGGGTGTTTTGACAGATTTCCACACTTTCTGCTAGGTGTAGCTGTCTGAGTGGTGTCAATTTCTTCAAGAAGGAATTTCTCCTTCATGAAGGAATTTGTGGGCTTTGGTTTTTCTTAATAAGCTGGAGATATGAGCGGTGGAAATCCCTCCAAGAGTTCTGATGGGTGTCCTGGAGCTGCCTGGGCACAGGTGGAGTCCTAGATGGAGGGTGGCAGTGTTTTGTCTCTGTGCAGGCGGTCATTTTGGCTGTGTGTTTTCAGGAAGAAGTTCAAAACTCGTTCAGGGGATGCAGTGCGTCTTACAGATCTGCTGGAAGAAGGGCTGAAACGAGCCATGGACAAGCTGAAAGACAAGGAACGGGACAAGGTAGTTATGATGACTTTCTTATCTTTCCTAAGGACTTCCCAGATCTGTTCACAGACTTGTGATTTCCACATTATGGATACGAACTGAAAAGGAGGACACTGCCAAACTGCTCGGGAGAGGCTGTGGGTTGTGAACAGAATCAGTGGTGTTGTCTGGGAGCGGTCAGAGTGAGGTGCCATCATGGGAAAAGAAGAATGACCTTGGGTAGGTAGGAGAAAATGCGAGCTGCAGGCAGTATGATGGCCTCCAACTGGTACCTCAGAGCGTTGTAAAGACTGGGCAGGGGAGCTGGCCTTGCAGGTACCATCAGGTCTCCCTGGTGCAATGGAAACAGCTGCAACTCCCTGAGATTCAAGAGGTGGTGGTGGATGGTCCTGCTGGGCTATCGGTGCCCAGCACTTGGGACTTCTGGTGAGGGATACTAGGGATCTGCTGGGGGCTTTGGCCTCAAGCGTCACCCTTTTGCTTGGAAGCTATGGATGATTTTTCTGGGAGCCCTTTGCTTAATGAGATTTCTGTCTGTTGGGGATTGTGACAGCCTGGAAGCAGACTGGACGGTGTGGAACATGGAGTGGCACGGAAGGACCAAACTCTGTCCAAGCACTGTGGGAGGCAGCAGAATTGGGAAGTGCAGCTGTTTGGTGCTGTGCAGCATAGGCCGAAAGTCCTGTTTTATACATGAGCAAGTAGAGAAAGACCACCTTGAAAATCTCCCTAGGGCTTAGGTGACTCGGGTACCAAGTGCTTTACCATGCTAACAAGGTGCTGTTCCTTCAGGGAAAGTTTTTATGAGTGCTTGGATTGCTCGGTATGTGGTTTAAGGGTTGCAGGGCCAAGTGCTTGGTGTGTGTATGCACAGTTTTTAAGAAGCAGGGACATGCTGTGAGCATCATACTTGCACAGTAGATAGCACCATGTGGAGCACAGAGGTTCTGTGGGCCTTCGGGAGTAGCAGGAGTCACCCTTAACATGGCCAGGCTACAGTGCAGTTCGGATGCAAGAGAAGTGAGGGGCAGATATGGGATTGGCTGTCCTCGTTGTAAAGATGCGTTTGAGCCTGGGGCTGGGTGCCATGTGGGTAGAATCCCCCTTACCTGCCTGGCCAAGGCTGTATGTTGCAGTTTGTGATGCTGGCACAGCGTTCCTCCTCCTGACCACTCTCCCATTTTGAAATTGTAACAGGTCCTCACCGAGGAAGAGCTGAGAGCTGCCCAGACGTCAGTTGCTTTCGGATGTATTAAATATGCAGATCTCTCCCACAACAGACTAAACGATTATGTGTTCTCCTTTGACAAGATGCTGGATGACCGAGGAAATACAGCTGCTTATTTGCTCTATGCCTTCACCAGGATCAGGTAGATCAAGTGTGTCGTGAGTGGCTTTAAGGTGATCTCTTATGCTGTCTGCGTGGGGTTTTTTTGTTGTTTTTTGTTTTTTTTTTTTTTTTTTTGCAGAAGGCTTTGTGTGTGTTTGTGGAGGCAGGGGGTGACTTAGTTGGCAGTGCTGTTTGGGGTAGTTGGTAAGAGAAGTCAGCTATACTGGTACGCCGTGTAGGCAAAATTTTACTTGTCATTGTGGATGATGTCCTGTGCTACCTGACACTGGACTCCTCTGTGACAAGCATCCTGGGCTTTTTAGCTGAGAGGGAGGGAACTATGGAAGTTTCTGGTGACAGCTTCAGCGATTGAGGTTTAGGTGGCTGGAGAGGGGAGAGCCTATGTTTCAGCAGTTGCTCACCTCAGCTTATTGCCTGAGGTATTGCCATACCTCTTCATAGCAGCCTCATCTGGCACCCTGGGCCCTGGTTTGCTTGCCAGCATCGGCTGTCCTTGCCCACACGTGTGTCCAGAGAATATCGCTCCCCATTCCTTTGCACAGTACCCTTTGAATCACTACTAGGGCAGCACTTCTGTGTGTTCCTGTAGCAGATGCTCTCTTGTAGTCTGGTAACCCAAGACTGGGCAAGTGAGGAAGTTGGGTGGTGGCCTGTCTGAAATGCCAGACGCATGACCAGCTGCAGGGTCAGGGCTGGGGCAGGTTTGCAGCGGGACCCACACGAACAGGTTTGTGTTTTTGATCGTTTCAGAGCTATTGCTCGCTTGGCCAATATTGACGAGGAGATGCTGCAGAAGGCAGCCAGGGAGGAGGTGCTCATCCTTGACCATGAGAAGGAGTGGAAACTGGGCAAGTGTATCCTGAGGTTCCCCGAGATCCTGCAGAAGATCCTGGAAGACCTGTTACTGCACACACTCTGTGACTACCTCTACGAGCTGGCCACAACCTTCACCGAGTTCTATGACAACTGCTACTGTGTTGAGAAGGACAGGCAGAGCGGTGAGTTTTGGCCTAGGGATGCAGCATGTGCCTGTGTCCCATACCACAGTACAGGTGACCTGTCGGGCATTTCCCTGTGTTGCAAAGGCTGTTGTCACACTACTTGCTGCTGCAGAGCAAGTGCTGTCAATGTGGGAGGCGTGAAGGTGGCTGGTACAGCCTATGTCATCTGCTGCCTGTGAGCAGGAAGGTTGAGTAGGGAGCTGCAAACAACCAGGCACCTGGAAACACAGTGGTTGGCCAGTGTGCCCAGCTTGGGGGGGAAAGGGAGGAGGCTCGGTGCGCCCAGCTCGGGTAGTAAATGCTGGGTTGTGGGGCAAGGGTGGGAGCACTGTTCTGAGCAACTGCTCCATCTCCTGCATTGCTGTTTTGCAGGCCAGATTGTGAAGGTGAACATGTGGAGGCTGCTGCTGTGCGAGGCCACCGCCACCGTCATGGCCAAGGGCTTTGACATCCTGGGGATTAAACCTGTGCAGAGGATGTAGCTGTGCCCTGTGGGGTGACATTAAAGTGACCGAACACCTGGAGGTGTCTGCATGTCTTTTGGGATGGGGTTGAGGTGAGGGATGGTGTTCTGGGAGAGAGCAAACAAGGAAAGAATGGCAGGGAAGAGGGATAAAAAGGGAGGAAGGAAGCAGGAGCATGGCTTCAGAAGCTGTGGGTACAGAAACAGACAAGAGGGGCCACAGGCACAGCTCAGAGCCTTGGTGTGTACAGGGGCCCAACCTGTGCACACAGCCAACAAAGGCTGTAGTTTGCACAGAGAAGTTAAGGACCCAGACTTGTCCAGACACCCAGAGAGGACATCGGGAACCCCCCCAATCACAGCTCAGTCACGCACAGTCCCAGAGCCTACTTTCCTCTGATGACACCCAGCATCTTCTTTACCTTATTTGTCAAGTCTGTGCAGGCTGTGAGCGCACAGGTCACCCAGCTCTTGACATCTTCACTGGCGTCTCCACACCTCCTCCATGAAGCTCTCGAGGGAGATGAGCAGCTTCATCCCAGCTCATGGAAGCTGTCAGCAAGCTGATTGAGGCAGCAGTCAGATACCTGCAAGAGCAGAGGAGCAGCATACTCAAGGACTGAGCTTTAATGTAACATACCAGGGGCATGTGAAACAGCAATTACTTTCTCAGGACAAAAGCTCCCTGTTACCAGGCATACCTGTGATAACAGCAGCACTAAAAAGCTGCTAGCACCATGCCAGCAAAGCACCTCATGGTTCGGTGCCATCCACTGCGTGAGTGATGCTTGCAGACCACAGGCCCCTACTGGGGGCTTGCATTTGCTCACAGAGCATCCCTTAATGCAGGTGGGTTGCTAGGCTCCACCACAGCAGGAGCACCTGCAACACTGGTGCTTTGCAGAACAGACTCCAAAGTACCTGTGGAAAGTGAGGAGCGTATTGTTTGTGCTCCATGCAGGTCCCAGGAAGGCAAATGCAGCCAAAGTCCACTTCTCTGTGCAGGATGAAAACTACAGCTGAATACAGGTTGCCACTGGCAGATCATACAGATAAGCGGTAACAGCCCTCTTCTCACCTACCTCTTCTCCACATACAGGACTCACCCAGCCCTACCAGGGCTGCCTGCAATACTTAGGCCTATCACTTGTGCATGCTGCACAGTTTGCCCTGGGGGTGCCTGCGACTCCAGTCATGGCCTGTGGCTTGGGATTGTGGGGGATGTGGAGGGTGGGTGGGAGGGGAATGGACAGACAGATGGATGACACTTGGATCCCCCCCTGCATGTGTCACCTGGATCACCTGTGTCTCCCAGTACGCTGCCAGAGGCCCACATGGAGTACAGACTGGAGGGTAAACCAACTGCTGCCGCTCTGGTGCATCACTGCCTTGTGTGGGCTTGGCCACAGGCACGGCCTGCACCAGTCCATAAAAAGGGGCACACGCGCAAGTGGCTTCCTGTCCATGTCTCAGAGGATGCAGTGCCTGGCCCAGCACCACAAACGCAGTCCTCACTGCTAGCACAAGTTCTCCATCATTATGTTTCCCAGTAGAAGAGAATAAATGTCGTCTTTCTTCCTCTCACTGTTCTCATTAATTTCTAGTTCCTCCTTGGCCTTTTTGCCTTGCCTAGCCCTTAGTGTCCAGCTCATTGCCAAATGAGTCAATGTCTGTCTCTGCCTTACCCCACTAAGGAGGCACCTGATGGTCTGCAAGCGCTCTGCCCAGCATGGCTAGCCTCCAGTCTCGGCGTCATGACCTCCAGAGAGTCATGGCTGGGCCTGACCGGGCTGGGGCCCGAGGACAGTCTGACCTCCAAGGGCCATCCTGCGTCTGGAAGCTGAGCACGCTGGCACTCCCACCCTGTGGGGGCGGCACCGTCAGCTGCCAGCAATGCTGGGGTGTGCAGGCAGGCGGGCAGCAGCACCCGGAGGAGCAAACCCAGGGGACAAGCAGCTCCATTAACTGCAGTCCCTCAGCAGCTCACACCAGGGAAATGCCTTTCCCTGCAGGAGGAATGCTCTGAATCCCTGCAGAGCTAGCATACGTATACATATAAATACACACACACACACACACACAAAAACTCTGGCAGTGCCCTCCCTCCTCCTGAGACTCAGTGGGCACTGATGGCTGGCGGTGGCCTAGGGGACAAGGAGACAAGTGCGATAGCAGGGCTGGGGCTCACCAGCCAGGCCCCTGTCCCACAGTACCTGAGTGAGGAGAGCAGCTTGGGCCCCGGGGTGACAGCTGGGATCAACTGAGAGTCCAGCTCGCCAGGCGTGTCCATTGGTGATGAGGCAGGTCCGAGGCCAAGCCCAGCGGGAGTCAGGAGGCAGCGTCAGGTTCAGGGTTGGGTCCAGTGACAGTAACCAGGGTCAGCCACAGTCCAGTGATTGCCAGGCAAGTCCATAGTGAAGCAGCACAGTCAAGGTCAAGCCAGAAAGTCAGTCTGCAGGTCAGGACCCAGGTCTAGATCAATGACTGTCGCTCAGGCCAGGCCCAGTGGCAGAACCTCAACTTAAACCAGATCCCACCTGCTCAGGTTGCTCAGGGCCTCAGGTTTGAGTCTCTCCAAGGATGGAGATTTCATAGGCTCTCTGGGCCCCTGTGCCATGTTTGTCCACTCTCCTGGTAAAAATGTCTTCTTAATCTCTAGTGGGACATTGCCTTGCTGCAACTTGTTCCTGTTGCCTCTTCTCTTGTCACCATGCACCTCCCAGACAAATCTGTCCTCTCTACACCCTCCCATTAGGTGGTTTTTAGATATCAATAAGATCCACCCCCCCCCCCGCCATCACCCTCTTGTCTTAAGGCTGACCAAAGCCAGCTTTCAGGTGCTCCTCATACACATTGTGCATGCCAGACCAGACCATCGCTGTTTCCACTGGACTCACTCCAGTATGCCAATGCCACATCTCTACGCCATGCAGGCATGTGTGCAGCCGCTGCCTCACTGGGTCTTGGGTAAAATCGTCCATTGAGACTGCAAGGTGCCTGGGGTAACTTTAGACACAACGCTCCCTATAGGGCATGCTTCTCTTCACACCACTCTTTTCCTCTCCAGTCTACCCAATCCTTCTGCTTCAAATTATTCCTTGGATCTTAACTCTGACCCCCCTCCCCCCCACCAAAGACCAGCAGTGGTGGCTCCAGTTCCACTGTGCTGCCATCTCAGACCGCCTTAGACACTAGTCCTACTACCATCTCTCTCTTTGTCCCCCCCACATCCCCTCCCTAGCCCTGTCCTACCCGTGTCTTTCAGGCAAACCTGAATTATGTTTGACAATACATCATAAAATAAAGGGAATGGAGGCAGCCTGGCCTGCAGAAGAGCGTACAAGGCAGCCTTGCTGACACGTCTGGTCAGTGTGGAAACAGCCCTTACCCTGCTCCAAGCTTTTGCTTTGCTACAACAAGTGCCATACCTGGAAGAGCCTGTTGCACTCCATTATCATGTGGGCCAGGCCTTGTGTTGCTGCCAGGTTCTCATTCAACTCCCTCTGGTCTGGTTTCCCCAAGCTATGCTTCCTGTGACTGGATCGAGATCGAGCGAGAAAGAGAGACAGAGAGACAGAGACAGAGAGACAGAGAGAGGGAGAGAGAGAAAGAAAGAGAGAGCGGGAGAGAGAGGGAGGAAGGCAAAAGGGAGGCTTGTGTTAAAAAGAGCTATGAACCATAGCTACATAGTGCTTACCTTGTGCTATCAAGCTGCCCTACTTAGGGACTGGAGAGCAGCAGCTTCAGCAGAGGCACTCTGCATTGAATGAGCCACAGATGTGCAGTGTGAGGCTCATGCTAGGCCACTATAGCAAGGTATGCAGAAACCATTCTGTTCCAGCATACCCCCCCAAAGTGTCTGAGCCATTACTGAACAGTAGCAAGGTCACCTCAACAACAGTCAAGGTTTTTTTAGTCCTCAGAACATAATCACACACTTAGCCAAAGACAGTAATGAACCCCAAATGCTTTGCCTGCATCCTTCAAATATCTAGGTTCATCGATAGCCTTCAAAGCCCTTTTAGAACCTCTTAAATCTTTAGGCCCAAAACACCATACCAGGTATTTTTCAAAGACATTTCAAAAATAGGCCCCCTCTTTTAATTCATAAACATTCTATGGCATCATTAATCCTGACTTCTGAAACTTTTATCAGTGTGCATTC